TTGGAACCTGGAGTCCAGAGTCTGAAACCAGCTGTGAGCGCGCAGGCCGGAGTCTGCAGCGCACTGAATCGCGGTGATGTTCCAGGCAGCCGGGGCGCTCTGCCTGACCGGAGCCGAGGCGTTCCCAGCTTTAGTCTTGCACTGCAGAGAAGCGCACCAGCTGCTTTTTAGATCCAAACGTACCTCCTTCATTCGGATGTCCAACACTTTGAACTTTTGGATCATCAACAAAGTGGCAAACACTAAAGTCAAACTCAGCAAGGTCTTTAAGACTCTGTTGCGCCGGAAGAAGTGCTCCATGTCGGAGATGCGCTTCAGACGCACTTCGTCGAGACACTCGCTCAGATCAAAGCTAAAAAAATCCTCGAGAAGAATTTCTAAAAGCATACCATCGATAATGAACATTTGGGTTGCTGTCCTGGTAGAAACAAACCGGTGTCCTGTGAGGTGGCATGGTGGTGAAGATGGTTAGTTTAGCCACGGGTTTGAAGGCTTATCCATTTGCGTTTCGCTTTTTCTCTCTTCTGATTTTTCCTGCCTCAGCTCCACGATGTGTCCTGCTAATCCTGTAACACATAAGCGGTGTCTTGTACAGTCACTCGTCCCTTCATCCCCACCCCCATCCACCCACCCACACACACACACACACACACACACACACACACACACGCACAAACTATCCCAACACCAAACACCTACCTGTGACAACCTTTCCTGAGGTCACACACAATTGTGTAGTGTCTAAAGCCTGCATATTTTAGAGACTTCAAACGGAAAATATACAACTAACTATTTAACTGAATAAGAATTGATTTCCAAGCCGATAAAAAAATATATTCACTTTTAAAACGACTGCATTTTTTGGATGAAGCACAAGGGCGCTGTTTCATCAGGCAGCTCCTGCCACACACTGGCACATGCGCGTTTGGGCACAATTTGCATTGTCAGAAAGAGAGGATTGGTCCATTTGAACTGTTCTGTGAAACTGCTATGTTAAACTTTACCTTCTAAGCATGGCAAGGCAGGATTTATGGCTTTGTTGGAACGTGGTATTAGGACTCAGGTCGCTTCAATCAGTGACACTGAGGAATTGTAGCAGATCTGCACTTCATTGCTCCTAATGACTGAACGCGTCAAGACTAGCAGGCCAACAAAGACCACCTACATTCCAGTACTGCTTTTTTTAACATGCCATTTTCCACCTGCTGTCTCCATCCCTCTTGGGAGAATCTCCCTCATTTTGAGGTCCTTTTCATCACTTAAGATGTCATATTTATTATGTGCATTTGGGCTTGTTCTGGGAAATAAAATAGTCAAATGTAGACAAACCAATAGCAGACTATTGACTTTACTTAAATTAAATTTACTGCTGACCTGTTATTTAGTTATCTATGTAACTGATTGTGCAGGAAATTGTGCAAAACAGTAAGAAATCTACTCCAACTACATGGGGTTTGTAAATGCTAGAAGTGTGAGTTCTGCCTGGAAAATAGACTGCCTCACAGATAACATTACTGTCCCAGACCTCTGGTTCTTAAAACATTAAATCTGTCAGGTTTCCTGGATGTTTTGAGAGTGGTTTTAGATAACTTTAATGAATAAAACCGTTATGTTGTATACATAACACAAAGGTTGTCCAGTATAACAATTATGCAGCACAACAGCAGGAATGAGAAGTTTGTGTTATACCACAGCCCTGTGGACAGAATCAGGACAGAATCTGATTGGTCAGAAGGTGTTTTCCATTCATTTTCCATAACAGCAGCTCTGACAGTAGTTCCAACTGCAAGGCAATTCACAGGTTTATATTAATGCACTCCTTCTAATACGTTATTGTTTCTATAGTAACAACTTATGCAGGCATTTGTATGGAAGATGCTCCACATAAACAAAAATGTGTGTAATTGTTGATATGGTGAAGTTTTCTGCAAGGAGACTTCTATTTAGCATTTTTGAGTATGCCCCATCATGTTTTGTTCCTTACATAACCCTTACCAGGTCCATGTCCCAAGCTTGCTTATTGAGGTAATTAATAATCATATGGGGAAATATCTGCAATGTCTAAAATAAACTTTGCCTACTCTGAAGTCTGTCTTGCACCAGATAATGCTGACGTTCCACTGGGGTCTTTAACTGATCTGAGGTTTTATTTTAAAAAATGACTAATCACAGTTTAGAACATTGCAGAAACATTAACTTTGTGACATTACAGTCTAACTGAATCTATTCAAATATATTGCCAAACCTACTGATAAAGTCCTCTGTGAGCTGGGGTCCTTGTCTCCTCTCCCGTGCTGCAAGTGGCCACTTGTGTACCATAGGAGATAAAAGTGGTTAGTGGAATTTGACAAGGACATGTTAAAACTCTGCTGGAATGCAAGGGCCCACAGACTATACATATATATAATCACTGAGAGAACTTCCCCAACGCATTCATCAGAAGTTTGCTGAACTAAATGTTTGCTGTAATACCTATTAGAGGCGGTAGAGGTCGTTAAACGGCTCCAAGAATTAAATGATGTTTCTGGTCAATAGCTCAGTAAAATACTTTGCCTATATATGGAGGTCCCACCGATGTATTAGATCAAAATGTTAATAAAACACACCATTTTTCCTAAAATGTACTTTTGGGGTGTGGAGGTAAGAGCCAAATACAAAAACCTCACTGCTGTAAAAAAAAAAAAAAAAAAAAAAAAAAAAAAAAAAAT